CCACCCTCAGCCCCATGCCCTGTTCCCCACAGGTGTTTCTTCAGATCCATTTTTTTTATCATACATCAGTTGTTCCTAGAGTTTATCATCTGCTGTGCAAGTACATAACTGAAGACAGAAAGGAACCGTTGAAGTCTTCCCACCAAGAAGGAACCGTGCTGCGGTCACGTTCAGCGACATCTTTGCAGTGCTCCAAGTCCCCTGGATCCCTGGCGTCTGCTTCAGCACTCTCCTACTTTCAGATAAAGGTGGAATACTGAGGTATATAAGTTCCGTGGAAAGTTTTAAGAAATACATCAGTAATTCAATCAAAACTTTGCCCAACGTCTATGAATCGAAACGGCATTTTGCTCGGAAGTCCTTCTACTGCTGCAGATTCAGTGTGAATTTCCACTGCTGTGACAAAGAAGGACTGCAGATCTCCACAGTGAGACCACCATTTTTGGCATTTCGGCTGTCTAGACAGAGGTTGCTGCCAACGTGCCTCAGTTTAGAATTGCTTTCAATTTGTTCCCATTTCTGGAAGAGAAAAGAAGTTATTGAGCTGGAAAAGCAGGAAAAGGATGAGTTCTACACCCCGTCCTTTGCAATCTTCATAAGCTTCCCTGGCTCGTGCTTGGAAAGCTGCGAAAACTGCAATAGTACCCAGTTTAAGATGATCCTCGAATAAAGAGCATATACGTTACAGCAAGCCTGGCCAAACCAGCCTTTCACTCAGGTAACGCACTGCAATAGACACAGAGTACACCAAACCATTTTCCTTCGCTTCAGCGCTTCCCAAATACACTGTCACACCACGTTACCTGTGTGAACCCTTTGGTCTGAAGAAAGAAATAATCACAAAACCCCGTCCCCATAACACTAGAGAAGCAAGAAGCACAATCACTAAACACGACTTTGCAGAAATCCAGAAACCTGTCAGACATCTTTTAGTTCTACAGCAGACCACCAGTCAACCTATACTGTCAGAAGCTCTTTGCCCAAGGTGACGCCAAGGATGGAGTCAATCCCAAATACAGGATGTTAAAAAAAAAAAAAAAAAAAAAAATTCTGTTGTATTTCTAACATATTGTGCACTTAAACCTTATCCAGAAAACCTTGCTTCCTCAGTTTCCTTTTCTGAAAAGTGGCAAGAATACGCCTCCTTCATCAAGGAACTGCATTTCAGTTGTCTGCCTGCAAAACCTGAGACATGGAAGCAAGGAAGCTGGCAGAGGATCAGAACTGATGACTTAGCAGAAAGAGATGAATTGTTATACGGCTAGATCTGAACGATGGCATGACTCTGCAAACGTGATTTTCCTCAGGCGTGGGAAATAGATGAAGTTAGAATGCTGCGTTAATAAAAATGACCTGAAGGAGTCCAGTGCTGTTATAAACAGGTCACAGCTGAAAAGACAACTGGAAAGCCAAACCACACTCAGACACAGACTACATAACCTTCAAACTTCACTGAGTAAGACCTTCCAAAAATACACTGTAGAACGTATATTCTGTTTCAGAACACAGACAGGGCAGTTGGAGATTGTTATGTATCAATGCTGTCGGGTGAAACTTTTACATAGGGCCAGCGTTGGGATAAAACCTCTGCATGCTCAGAAATGATTCTCACTGGCCTATGAAAAGCAAAGCTCAGCACCACAAGCTTACTCCTGCTGCTCTGCGTAGATCACAGAATTCCAGCATGGCAGGGGTTGGAAGGGGTCTTGAATATCTCCAGAGAATGAGACTCCACAACCTCCCTGGGCAGCCTGGGCCAGGGCTCCGTCACCCTCAGAGGGAAGAAGTTCTTCCTCCTGTTCAGACGGAACTTCCTCTGCTTCAGTTTGTGCCCGTTGCCCCTTGTCCTGTCGCTGGGCACCACTGCAAAGAGTCTGGTCCCATCCTCCTGACACCCAACCTTGAGATATTTACAGGCATTTCTAAGGTCCCCTCTCAGCCTTCTTTTCTCCAGGCTGAACAGGCCCAGCTCCCTCAGCCTTTCCTCGTAGGAGAGATGCTCCACTCCCCTCACCATCCTCGTACCCCTCTGCTGGACTCTCTCCAGTAGCTTCTCATCTTTCTTGAGCTGGGGAGCCCAGCACTGGACACAGTACTCCAGATGGGGCCTCACTAGGGCAGAGTAGAGGGGAAGGAGAACCTCCCTTGACCTGCAGGCCACTCTCTTCTTCATGCACCCCAGGAAACCACTGGCCTTCTTGGCAGCCAGGGCACACTCTTGGCAACAAGGGCACACACGTCACGCATCCAGACTTCACACACACAACCAACAGTGAGACAGAGAGAAGAGCAGGATGGGTAGGAGATACGATTACCAGCGCGCTTTCTTGCTCATTCACAGCCCTTGTTTTCCCCACTGTTTGCAGAGTGCAATCCCGACATACTGACCTGTCTGCTGTCGTTTTCCCTGCAGCCCTGAAGTTTTATTAGTGAACCAGGTGCTCTGTCCACAACAGTAAGGCACAAATCCATGTGTTTCACTGACTTGTCCTTTGTTAAGGCCCATTCCTAGAAAACAGAGGAAAAAAAATGTGTACAAAATAGTGTATACTAACATAGGCGCAAGGTGCACATGCTATTTCTGCATATACTGCACAGGTTAAGATCCTGTAAGTGGCTACGTACGAGCATCAGAGCAGTTCATGACTTCCCACAGAGCAGGAGAGGAAAAAAGGGCCTTTTCAAACCCAGTAACCCCAATTGCTTAAGCATCCCCAGGCCAGCTCAGGGCTGGGCTGGCTGTTTGCTTCCCTCTGCTGGCTTCGCATCAGTGCAGCAGGGACTCACACAGGTCCTCAGCTTTAAATTCTTTGTCCAAGTATTTGTCCAGCTGTATTTATCTCTCTCTATTTGTGTGGGTGTGTGTTTGTGTGTATTATCCCCCCCATATCTTCTATGTAGGAGAGATTTATATATATGTAAAAATACATATAATTATATATATAAAAAAACCCTAAAAGCTTGAGATGCGGCGGACAAAGCCTACGTACCACAGTGAGGCAAGAGAAGTTCTCAAAACGGCAGAGACCACCAGAAAGCAATACACAAGAGGGCCAGACCCCAAGGGAAAGGGACAATGTTCCTTCCTATCCAAGGCCCGACGTACAACAGAATGTCCTTTAAATGCATTTACTTCTGCAACTCGGAAAGCAAAGAAAAGCCGCTCTGTATGTGCTGTTGCCCAGCTTGTTTGATCTCAGCATCCTTCCACACAGCACCTGATCTTGCAGTGATGTTCAGAATCCCTGCTTTTCTCCCCAAAGTTTAGACTCCAGGATCCAAACTGGTCTTCCCTTGTCTAATTATCCTTTGCGGAAGGAAGCTGATCTATCAACTAAAAATATATCTACGCTAATTATCCAAATCATGCTTGTCGCTACTTCAAACGGCAAGGCTAGCTTTTCTCCGACAACTAAAGAGGATTCAGAGTTGTATAATACAAACCCGAGACATACAGGGCCAAGCCTGGCCACATTTAATGTTCTTTTGCAAGCAATCAGTGTTTCAGAAAGAAATTAAATGACTAATCCCAACCCAGGTTCTTTTACTTATTTTCTGATACCATAGCTGAATTTTTGGCTTGCATAACGACTTTTAAACTCCGCAGATTTCACAGCGATTAAGTTCCTGTGCGAACAGATGCTCAGGAAACAATCAGAACTTCCAGCCCACGCGATGACAAGGAATCGCCGTCGTAGAGGCAGCAAGCCGCTGGATGGGTCCCGCATTAGGCAAGTACTAGAAGAATGACAACTACGTAAAACAAAGCAAAGGCAGGAGAACTCTGTGCATCCCATTATTTCTCTCCCAAACTCTTCGGCTGAAAACTTCCTTTCTCTCAGGAATCTTCATGTTAATCTCAGATGACAGCAAAATTACTTGCCTTCTCAGTTCTGTCCAGTTTGTAAGATGTCAAGAAGAATCATTCATAGACACTTTTAACAACTTAAGGAATTAATCAAGTTATTTGCAGAGCTTATCAGGAATCACAGATGCCCCTGAAACAGATGGCCCCCTTATATGATATATACTGAACAGTGACAGTTGAAAATAGTATCAGGGAAGTGGTAAAACTAGTGTTTGACAATCCTGCAGTCAGAGGAAGTTGGAGCCTTGAAAACGCTGCTTTATACATCTTCACCCTTCCATCAAAAGGCTGCAAGAGCCCCCGACACAACAGAAACCACACAAGAAATTCACACATTTAAAAGCCTGAGGTAAAAAGCTCCCAGCCCTGCTGCTGGAGACATCTACGAGATGGGCCTTCATGGCACAAAACACAGTGTGCAGATGCTTTCCTCCAATGATCAGGAGCCATGACCACCTATAACGGAGATAAGATTCAGCAAGTTCCACTAGACCAGAAGAGAAGACAAACTGCAAGCAGCATATGGGCTCATGGCACAGGCTGGAAATAGGACAGCTCTGCGGAACAATTTGAAAACTAGGACATCTGAAAAACCCTGTGTCATAAATCAGAAATGTGAAGTTTGTAGAACACCACTAACCTGAAACGTTCCCCTCGCACCTACACGCCTTTGGCTTCACTCTTCGCTCCTTATCATAACCCGAGATACTTGTACACAGCTGTCAAACACACCACCATTTTTTCAGCCCTTTAGAGATGCACATCTACCTTTTTAACAACTGAATACTACCAGCTGGAGAGGGGGAGCAGAAATCCCTTTTTGACTTAAATTCTGCACTTTAAGTTGTGTTGAGCACAAGCCAGAGTACGCTTTTCAAATTATAGGAGGAGGTCTCCACAGCCTATAATATCTGAATACTCTTAATCCCATCTTAATCTGGTTTGCTCCCCGTCCCTCCTCTCCCACGCTGTTCACTCCCTCCAATCCAACACAAATTCTGCCTGGACATAAAACCTGGTTTTGACCCCTGCTGCCTCTTTCTCTGTCTGAACGTCCTCTCACAGGGACCTGTTCAGAGCAAGCATATATTGGTTTGTGCAGGTCAGCTTCACAGAAGAAACTACACAGAAAAGTGTCAGATTCAGGGGAGGGGAGTTACAAAGAGGAAAATAACTTTGTGCATCCACAGAGAATACACAACATCAGCAGCAACTTCCAACGTTTCTGTACCAAGGCAATTCTGACACGTCCACCTTTTCTCCCAAAAAACCACTGTGGTGCTCTGAAAAGACGAGTGCACTTTCCTAAAGGTAATAGCAAAAGCCTCCCCAGATAGAATTTCTTTAGACAGGGAAGAGAGGCATGTCTCAGGTGTACGATGGCAATGCATTCACATCAACATGATAGATCTTCCAGGACATAACTTCTTCACTTCTGTGCTTCATCTGATTGTAGGGTTTTTCCCCTTCTAATTTAAATCAGAGTGAGCAAAATTCTGATATTCATTCAACGGCAGATTTGTAATTGGTTAGCTTTCTATTTTAACAGATGTACTTGAAGTATTAATCTTACACTTGATTTATATTTGATTTATAGTCAGGTTGATTCTGGAAAGAATTCAGTGACAAAGCGTCACCCAAAACTGAGCACGTATGTGTACATTTCATGAATGATAACTAAGTCACAACTGCATAAATAGATTCTCTGAAATAATTAATGCTCTCATTTACAGATCTGACATTTGCAATTATTTTAAGAGTAGGATTAGGAGGGATTCATTGGAACCCTCCCTTTACTGAGAGTGAATAGGATATGACATTTAGGAACCCCTGTTTTCTAGAAGAGCCAAATGAGGATTTAAGAAAGCATTTTTTTAAACCTCCCTATATTCTGATGCACACTGAATTAATCCCTGTGCTCAGATTCTAATCCTGAAAATGCAAAATTATATTTGATGGAGAAGTTACTTAACCAATCTGTTATAACAACTGATCTGATGATGGGGGTTCATCTTCCTGTCACCAGCACACAACACCTGCTTGAGTTAAAAAGTTTCACTTTTTTTAAATTTTTTTTTTTTAAAGATCACATACTGCTGAAAAAAAAAAAAATGAATGGCATACAGACCTGGTTTCCCCCGGCATTATGGCATTCATAAACTCCAACAACACCATCTGCAAAATGGCCCAAAGTGTCAAGGCAATTGGTACCCTGCTGCAAAGCCCCAAAAGCTATATCTTGATGATCAGGTACCCTAAAATAAAACCAGAAATATCTGCTTAATTCAGTTCCTTTAATTTAAATATTTTTTTTTTCAACTCCATGTCTTTACTCGCAGTATTGTTAAGATGACAGGTTAAAGGTGAGTGATGACTACTATCTGGAAATCTCCATTGTCTTCTGATGAGGGAAGGCAATTATCTGATCACGAACCGATAAAACACGAGTAAACTTGCAAGCTTCGGACAGAATACAAAAAAACCATGTACCAGAGAATGACGATGAACATCCAAACTCCGCACAAACAGCAAACTAAAGGTGACTTATCATCATCATTTAAGGTTACTCAAGCTCAATGCTATCAGTTAAGGTCACCAAGCCCTCTTGTTTTTTCAGCCAAGCCAGACAGAGGCAGAAATATGACATTCTACATTTTTCCCAGACTGTTTTTACTGAAGTGTTAGAAAAGGGGTCAGGAATTAAAAAAAAAAAAAACAACAACAACAACACCCCACACACACCCCACCACAATGTTTTGCTGGTATCTATTTTCTAATGGTTGCACATAAAGTGCACTCATATAGTATGGAAGTAACTAGGCAAACCCATTCAACAAAGTACAGTTGTGGGGTAGAGTCCGAGGGTTCATGTCAAACAGTAAAGCAGTGGCACATTAGCTCCTTTTAAAACTTGACTATAATATGAGAATAATAATTCTACCCAGCAGAATGATCACATGAGACATCACACAGAGCAAGACGACATTGCACTTCAGTAACGCTTATGGTAGCACATTTTCCAGGAGAGCTTGCAAGACTTTTTTTTTTTTTCTGCAAATTAAACAAAAATAAATATCCCCTGGCACTTTTAGGAGAAAATAAAGAATAACTTACTTGCTCAGCATCATCCTGGTTTATGAGACTCTTTAGTATGTGCGGTTCTGTACACATTTCACTAGGGCTCTAATGGCTGGTGCTTCTGCATTCCAAGCCTGTGTGCCACTAGCAGTTACCTGAGTCTACTGACATCAAGTGCCCCCAGGAAAAAACCCCAAGTATTCTTACAAGCCATACACAGTATCTTACCACTACGCTACCAGTATTAGGCTGACAGCAGACAAACTAGTCTATAGACTCCAACCTGACAGACATACTAACTAACTGGTTATTGAACAAAAACCTTTGTTATCACTTTTTGAAAGGATAAAATGTTTCTCTTTGAGGATTTTTCACTAGGTAGGATGTATTCATGTTACAGAAACTGTCAGCTACATTACCCCTCATTTCCCTCTTCTTACCTCCCCACCTCCCAAAAGTTAGTGATCATCCAGAGCCAGAGGACAACAGACAGAACGAGCAGAAGGCTCAGCCTCTCAGAGCCTTAGGCATCTACCTTTGGCTGCCAAACGTAGAAAGCTTTCTGGTCTGCTGACTCCTGTTACTCGTACTGAGATTCAGTCTCCTCGCTCAACTATGCTTAGGTGAAGGCAAAAGCTTTGAAGGAATAACAACAGGACACAGAAGAGTGCACTCTTGTGCAATGGGCTTCTGTAGGAGACTCACTCCAGGCTCAGATATGTTGAGTCCTTTGGACGCTGTTCTCTGAAGTACCTGCTACTGCTGCTGTAGTCGCAGTTAAGTGGAAAAATAGCTCTTCAGGAACAGGACTAATAAAAACCAAAAGCCAATAAGCCTCCACGAGGCATTGCTTTCACAAATAAATTAAAAACTCCACCCTTTACATCCAAGGAAGCAGAAAGAGCAACCGATGATTTCTGGGGAGGGCAAAAAAGAGAAGTCCATAGTATCTTTGATTCAACCAAAACTCACCGTAACTCAGGATAAACATTTTCAAGATACCACTTGAAGGGTTTGCAGCTCAGTCTCTTTCTGAGTTCCATTCGGCTTTGAATACTAGAGGGGAAGAAAAGGAGCAGTTTTCAAAGTCAGGCTGCTGTCCTCACATCCATTAAGAAATATCCAGAAAACTCAAGACCAGAAGAACTATATCTTAAAGAGATCACACATGAGAGCTAGCACTGCTTTCACCTCAGAAGGTGCTGTCTTGTGAAGAGTAAATGAAGAGGGCAAAGAAGCACTTGTGACTTACTTGCCGTATGCTACATTCCTGGCTGAAGGCACTGCTGCGTAATAGAAGTTTTTATACTCATCCATCCAGACTTCTGCTGCCCTGCGTGTATTTCTGGAAACAATCAGATGAAACACATTGGTTATATTTTCTCCAGCTGCAATTAAACCATGTAATTTATCCTTGGGTTCATTTTAATACTTTCTAGTACTCCATAGTCAGCTGCATCAAAGCCAGGCAGAGGATTCCTTATTCAAGACCCAACTAACAGAAAATCATCGAAGAGCAGCATAACGGAAATTAATGCATTCAGAATGAAATTTGTGGCTTTTCCACCCTCATCGCTGCTTCAGGTTTTCATCCAGAATTTAATACACATCTTGGAGTTCTTTCTGCAGACTTCTCAGAAGTTACGTAGTTGGTTTGTTTGTTTTTTCTTTTTATAAGAGTAACTTGACAGAAGCCAAATTCAGTGAGTGTTTACCTAGATTGGCAAGCTAATTGGAAACCAAACTATCTCAACAATTGCCAATATTTAATTATCTCTTTTACCTTTCTGAAAACATATGCTGACATAGCCAACACATATTTTCAGTCTTCATCCTACTCCTACCAGCAGAGCACTCAAAGTTCCACACAGACATAAGCTGTTGTGAATTTAAGGCTATGAACCAAGCAAGTCTCCTGCAGCTGAGGTAACAGAGGAGAACCGGTAGCTAGAAAATATCTCTCATGCTTTAAAATTCCAGAGAGATTAATTATTGCAATAAATGTGAAAAACACTAACCCAAATCCTTTATTTCTAATGAAACGTATCTCTAACTAAAATTCCTGTATTTATGTACCAGGTGTCTTTAAATTTCCTTTTGGACTGCAAGAGGGTAATGCCTTTTTCCATACCCTGGCTTCCATGTGAAACTCATTTACTTCTACTGTTTGTAATTTTATGCTTAGAAAATTAAGTCCTATTTCATTTGCCACTGTCATGCTCTGAAGTTTATTTTACATTTGGCAGTAAGATCATCTAAAGCAACTGGAGTAAACTCAGTCAGCCAGTAACTTCTTTAACATGATTTTCCAATTCAAAAGACAAAAAAAAAAATAGGATAAAGTGATTTCTTCTCGCAGGTCACTGAGAAGGAAGGACATGAGGAAGAAAAAGAGTCACAAGACAGACTTCAATCGGTTTTTGTTCGAGGACTCATTTTTTCCTTGCAGCTGCCTCATCCAGAGTCACCAATTTGTTCTGGCCGCCGGAAGGCAGTGCACACTGCCGAGTCAGCTAAAAATAAGAGGCTTCCCCAGAGCACTCCAGAACAAATTGCACACAGTCAAGGGACAGACGATGGTGTAAGCTGACAAGTCTCAACTGCAAGACCAGCACAGATTCTGTGCACCAAGTTTCTTTGCACCATGGTCCTACAGATATCTGATAACCCCCGTATTACAAGGGTATGCCATTACCTTAGGTTTCTCGTTCTCTCATTGCTAAAACTGATTTTAAGACATTCTGTTATATCGGTTTGACAGCCAAGAAAGCTGACTGAGGAGGAAACCTTCATAGGCACAGCAACTTGTCAACTCTGCTTTTAAGCGACACGCAGCTTTGCTAGGTCAATTCAACAATAATTCCAATGAAACAGAAGATTTTAATGACATTTCAGAATTTGAGACAACTGGACAGCTAAGGACACAGGTAATAAACCACTTGCAGAGCAAGGTAGATCTGGAAAGGGATGTAAGTACCCAAGATGCTAGTTTGCAAGCTTCAGCTGTCCTCACCATTCAACACATGGGATCTCTTTTCAAAGTCATTTTGAACACAAATGACTGGAAAACACAATGCAACTTTAAAACAAACCTGCAATGGTAATTGTCAGGACACTTGAGTGATCAAATCGCGATGATGATTTGACCTCACGACAACATTCAAAAGCTTTAATCCCATTACGAACACAGCATCTTCAGCCCCTGCCAACAGGACGCATTTCTGGTGTCTGCTGTATCCTTGCAAGCACACAGTCACACCTTCTTCCTACTTTTCAGCTGAGCTATGTTTAAGTATCTATTTACATCACAAGAAAAGCAGCATCTTGGCAACAGCCCAAAGATGGAAAAGCTGCAGAGGAGTGGGAAAACTGCACAATTTTTATATATATATATATATTTTTTTTTTTCATTTACCATGCTCCTTGTTATGCCATTGTCATTTTAAAACCTCCTGTGAAACTGAGAGTTGCATCCTAAGCCTACATAATACAGTTTAATTGGTAGATCTTTTTACCTCCCTGATGCACACTATAAATACTGGAATAGATGTGTGATATAAGAGAGGATATTTCATTGCTAGATTTTGTTTTCTCATAAGTACTACTATTCATTTTTCACTGTAGCATAAAATACAGATTTCAAAGCACAGGGAACCAGGAAAATCCCGACTAGAAGAAACAGGACAGTGACTGTATTTTAGAGGGCTATTAACTTCATCAAGAGTCATCTTGGTGACATACCCAGTGTGGAAGAGAAGAATTACACCCTAAGGAGGTTCCTCAATCTAAGGTAAAACAAAAGACCGAATGTATCGGCAGCTTAGTACATTCTTATGAATTGAAGTATATCTGGGCTCTCTGTTGCTTCATGTTAAACAGTTTGGGCTTCATATCCCTTCCAGGATAAATAATTTTATTTGCAGCTCTTAACCCACAGAACCTTTACCTGAGGCTTGTACTTCTCCAGCCCCCTGAGTGTCAAGTCCAATTCTCTAAACCAAAATCTACAGCGATTCTTCAGCTACAACTGATAGAGCCTCGGTCAAAGTGTCCACCATATACTCACGCAATACCTTCATCCACATTACTTAAAAACCACCATGAACATGAATCAGAATTGCTATTCTCGTTCTACAGAGGAGAAACTGAGGAGATACTGAGCTATTTTGGCTATGTTCGTACATTGTACCACCAGCAAAATTCACAGGCCTGTAAATCTAAGACCTTAACGCTGCAGTTTCTTAGGTTTATAGAAAAAACGTTTTTAAACATCGCACAGGAAAGGCAAATATGATTTAGAATGAAGTTGCCAACAGACTGGCGCAAGTGCCAGAATCAGTCTACACAGTCATTTACATATCACATATTGATCATGTATTAACAAAAAGCAAGCAAAGTGTATTCATAACTTAGTGTATTCTGGCTCTTAGTGAGTGACGAAACTGTTTCTACAAAATGAAGATTTATGAGACAGTTTTGAAAATAAAGTCTTCTTTCAAACCAAATAAACACAAAGTTCTCCAAATTAACAGAATGCCAAGCTAAGCATTTCCTTCTCCAGATTCTCAGGCTGTGCCTACTAGAAGTTTCTGGTTTTCAGCTCTCCGGTTCTTCTCTCAATCTGTGTAGTTGCCTCAAAGTCACTTCCTTTTAATTAAAATTTTTCCATGCTAGATAATATTGCAAATATTTCTAAAGAACAGATCCTTAAAATGAAATTACTGCCACCTGCTGATCGTCTGAAGAAATCCTGAACATTGCTACTCGGTTAAAGACTTGGTTAACAGTTACCTTGCAAACACGGTACCACTCCCACCGGGAAAGGTGTAAGGATGCTGTTTGCGGAATACGTGACCCACTCTGCTGCACGGGATGATTTCTAGGCTCCCACCACACTGCCAAACTCTGAAGGAGATCTCTGAAATGCAAACATGAATGAAACACCAACATTACAAAATGCTGTAATTCTGTAGTAAACTATTCACAGCGAAGGCTTTCAGTGATTATTGCCGAGAAGATGAATAAGATAATTTTCTGAGAAATTCTAGGATAACCAAAGGACAAAATCAAGGAATGATAAAACAATCAGTAGAGCTGCTAAGTTATCATAGCAGATAACCAAGCACTCCCAAACACTGGCAGCGGAAGGAGTCACATCAAGTCAATCTTGATCTGAAGAGAGACTTTGATTTGAAGATGCAGCTTCTGTAAACGGAAGGTTACGGACAGTACATTTCCAAGCCAATCTACTGAGCTGACCCTGCTAGTGAGGACAAGAAGGTCTAGAAATATTTATACACCTTTCTCAACTTAGACCTCTGACAGCAGAAATCACCTAGTGCTGACAGAGAACTCTTCCTCACTCATTCCAAATAAGTGCAGTAAAGAAGGCTGCTTCCAGCAGCAAGCACCGCTTCAGTTTCGATGATCCTCCCCCTTTAGTTCAGCACCTGCTGCCAGTTACTGAGTGCTACCCTTAGTTTCAAGCCTCTCCAGAACCATTCAGCATCTTTCCACGGATTTAGAAACCAAAAATACTAAGCAGGTCTAATTTCAAGTCAGCATCTACCTTTTACGACCTCTACTGTGACATTCCTTCCTCCAGAAGCCTTCCTCCTACATACACAAAATCAGTCATAACAACAGCACTGCTTCAAAAATTAAATTTGAAGAAGAAAACCCAAAGGTTAGAGAGCATGTCTTCTTGATGGTCTGTCCAGAAGAAAAAGAAAGGACATAAAAAAAGAAAAAAAAAAAGAGGTGCTGTGATTTCAGCTATTGACAGTGAAAGTTAATTGTAGTTAACGGCCTTTCTTCTGAATGGTGTCTGCTGTTACAAGGATCATTTCCTACTTGTTTTACTTCAGGGATAAGTTCTGCTGCATTGGGGCCAATTAGGCATGGTCATGAACTTGACAGTCGCCACAGTCCAGTCTACAGACAGATCACCCTCCAGAAATTTTAATGTCAGTCTTGTCTTTGCTAGTAACTGAAAAAGTATTTTAGCTGTAGAATTAATTTAGAAATACCTTGTGTCAACTTTTTCCATTATTCATAGCTTCCTCTACTGTGCACATTAATTTTATTATTTCTCCCTCCATAAATTCCCAGAAATGTAAACCTACATGTATAGTTTCAGGCACCTTAGATTCTGAAAAATCTCAGAAAAAAAAACCAGAAGTGAAAATGATGAAAAATAGCTGTATGGGAAAGGCAGCAAAGGACTAGTAAATAGAGAAAAGCAAATTAATTATTTGTACCAACATGGCTGCTAAAGCCTGTATGAATTTTTGAAGAAAAAGGACAGTAAGGTAACTAAAACTTAACCCCCGCCTTATAAAAAAAAAAAACAAAAAAAAAAACAAACTCCTTTAAGACATCTTTTTTGCCGTACTCCAACAGTGGGAGAAGAAATTTTACTATTATAATGGTATCAGTGGACACAGTTTTTCATTAAAAAGGCATAAACAGCATGTCAAACAGTCTTCAGTTGCATGAGATTATGTTACACCTCTCAAAAATAGATTCGCTCTTTTCATTGTAGCGTGCCACCGATACAGAAGACAGGGAATGTCTCAACTTGCTCCCTGATTTTAGCAAAATTATTAAGAAAAGCCTAGGTTTTCAAATTTGACCCAAACCTTCTAATGGTCCATCCAGTTCTCCAGCGCACTCTGATCCTCCTACGCTTATCAAAAGCATTGCAAAGATTTGAGAACTGGACTTAAATTCAGACAAGACTGACCAAGCCTTGATCCATGTTTCGTACAACAGGTGTGTGTTATCAGCCACATTTAGCAAAAGCATGAAAATTATCTTAATGCTAAGAGCCATCTCTTGGCTAATTTCAGCAAAATACTGCAGGCCCATCCAGAAATTTGTAAAGTTGAGACTGCACCAACACGTGAACAAAATACCATATAACAACTGCTCTGTACATGCTTGCAGGAAAAAAGCTAAGTTCTATAAAGCATAAATATAATGTACAGAATTATTTTGCAAGTCCATCTTGCAGGTTATTTGTATGTAACATCAAGCTGCTGATCTAGAGTTCTGCTTGAGAGTAAGGATGTCTGATGAGTGGGCACACTGAATTTTCAGCTGCACATCACAGATTTCTGGTATCTGGTGCATGTGTCATTTACGGCCAATTAAATCATACACCATGTGATTTTTACTTGTCTTCAGTTAATCTGGGAGCTATGAACAAATCATTAGCTGTCTGCTGTACTGACTGACTTCACCGCATAAAAAATTACACACACAACAGAGGGAAACAAATTCAAGTAAATACTCTCATTAGGAAACTCAGCACCATGCAGCATAAACAGCTTTTGGCATGCAGCCTTCTCACCTGGTGTGAGGAGCTGTTGCTTGTGCCCTTTACTGCTGTCAAGGCCTCAATTATCCAACCATGAAAAGCAGCTGCTAAATTTTCAGAAGAAACTCAAGTCACTCGAGTATGTGCTTACAGCTAATCAGATATGTGAGAGCTCTAGCAGCAAAAGAGGTTTTCAGAGTGAAGATGAGTATTGCCATAGTAAGTTTATCCAGCAACTTTCTAGGACATTTAAAAAATGAAAAACAATTACGATATTCATATTAATACTATTTAACTATATACGGCCAAAATAGTGAGAAAACAGAAACACAGAAAGTAATTATTCAAAATACTTAAGAGGTTTATCTGAGCATTGCGGAGGGAAGTCAGCGACTGGAGCCTTTAAGCTCCTTACAGGAGCCTTAAAGATTTGGTTGCCATGTCTCCACACTCCGTGTGCTGTACACAGCCGACGTCTCCTTGCGGGCCAAGCATATGCTCCATGCACGTGCATATTTCAGTAACTCTAAATACTCATGGGTTTTGACAAGTTCAAGGTATTTTAGGATTTTGCAGCTAGCACGTGCCGTAGAGAAGTTTTTATCCTCAGAACTGGTCCTAAAACACACAATTTCGAACACCTTGAGATGCATCTCTACCCTAAAAAATGAAATTAATGACAGACTGGAAGTCTTGAGAAGTTGTAGTTCTGCTCTTCCAAAGTCTTTTTTGTTTTAATACAAGTACACTGGTCTGGGCTGGAGAAAAACTTTGCACAATACAGCAGTGCGAAGAGCCCAAAAAACTGCTAAAGCCAGATCTAACCACTAAGTCAAGGAAGAAATGGCTAAAGCGGGCGTTTTCTCAGCCCCTCCTCCCTCTTCCCTAAATCCCACTCAAACATCCAAAAATAAGGAATTATGGCAAAAAATGCCTTCTCAACCGTAATTATCTTGTAGTGCTAAAATAGGGGTACAAAGTTAAAACACTCACTAAGCTTAGAGGCCAGGCATTATTGTATTATTAATAAGAGACAGATTATTCCTCAGTCAGCTAAGTTTGAATTGATTTCTTAAGGTGTATGTAAGAACATTAATCTCAAACTCCTGTGTTCTACTTCTCATGATTAAATTTCAGCAACATCTTAAGACATGTCTTAAATTGTCAGCCTTTAAACGTTATTGTACTGTAATCCATAACTTTGGATGAGCATGTGACTTTCAAACAAGACAGCATTTTTGAAAGCTATTTCCTGTCTACATCCTGTAATTTTTTATTTTATCAATCAACTTTCATTACAAAAAAATTTCACCTCTTAATGAATGAACACTTTCATTCCCTCATATATAGCATATAATTCCTACCTTGTTTTAATTCTTTCACTGAAATAAACCTTTTGGATTTTGCCAATGATGTATGTGAAGCTTTAACTCTGGTTTTGACCCTCTTTGCACAAAACCAGTAAGATCATGACCCCATGACATTAAAGGCAAAGACGAAACTTGCTTTCTTTCAATACTGATCTGAAGGTAAATAATATACTTACCTAAGTTTTCTCCACCCCAAACATCCATCATCATGTCATACTTCCCCAGTTCTTCAAAATAGGATTTGTCCATCACAAATAACCCACCAGCTATCATGGGTGTCCTAAACAGACAAGAAATATTAAATTGAATACTTACAGAACCACGAACTGGGAGGTAACTATTATTTGCACCTTGAGAGGTTAATGCCTCCTTGAAAAAGTCTGCAATGTTTTCATATGTGCCACTAATTTTGCATCCATCACTTCACATGTTATCTGCACACGTTTCCATGGCACATATAATGCCGTGACCACCTTAGGAGGCAGCTTCCAAATCTCCATTTCGCTCACAAGTTCCTTACGTGGAGGGTGGCAGTTTGCAGCAGCAACAGAACATCAAAACTGATGCTGTATTTTTAGCCCTCAAAACATACCAACTTTAAACAAAGTGACATCTACTTTTTGTTAAGCATAAATAATCTACCAGCATGCTTTGAAGTATTTTGTTAAATACAATGTATTTCTGAGAGTCTCATAATGCTACATAAATATGAATGAGGTTTCAAGGCTAATGGAAGTTATAGTAAAGATCCCCTTTCAGACTCGGAGAAGATGATTTCCAAGTTTGTTTAGCTGCAAACTACAATCACTTAGAGAGAGAAGTGGTGGTACAGACATACTTTATGGGAGCAACTGGATTTCCTTGCCGTGCTCTTCTTTGCTCTGGTGTCATGTAATCCCACTTGAACACCAGGTTCCAATCAAAGCCTTCAAGAAGAAAATATTAGAGAGGAAGATGTTAAGATGAGTGTGGTCATCATTCAACTCGTAACATAATGTTGACTGAAAACACTGGGAACTGTAATTTAAATTAAAAATGTAAACACATAAAAATCTCTGGGTAGGAAAAAATGAGTAGGAGTCCAGATGAAAGGTACAGAAGTTGACAGGACAACTAAAAAAGTAATCTCAAATACAAAATAACTTTGATTTCTCTTGTTGCCATCTATTACACCAAGTAAGAAACCCTGTCAACAAGTGACAAAGCAAAAGCCTTATATAGGAATCCAATGTCTCATACTCTTATGCCAAGCAGACCATCATAGGAAGATCTTCCAGCCACTACAATCCTCCCAACAGCCTGTACTGTACAAATGCTATTTAACTCTTGCCAAATGATCACATATCTACGTTGACACAAGGTTTATGCAGTACTCTTGGTACTCTTCTACCAGCAGGAGCTCTCTGTCCTGAAGGTCACAACAGGTCACATAGCTCTCACTTCTCTCATTAACATTCCTCTAACTTCCTCCTTTCCCACTGCATGCTTCCAAGTGCATAATTTTTGTAAACCTTAGGCAAGTGCTAAAGAGCCAAAAAAGCTTACTCCCCTTAGGTATGTACACGTGTGTGCACACAGAGCAACAGTTAGTCTGGTCCTTTCGTGGGTTAAGCACAGAAGCACATAAAGATCACTGGAATAGACAAAACCAATAGGTCACCTACAGCAGCTTTCTACCTAACAACAGCTAGAATAACCTCCTTTAGGCAACGATACACAGCTGGTATAAGACCAATTTACTATAGGAACACTTTCATAATAGATTTGAGCGGGGTTATGCCCATAAGCATGAATATCTATTAAAAAACTACACAAGGTCCATAGCCCTCTCCCAGTACACCTAGCAAATCAGCCTGATGCAGACTGCCTGCTGCCAGACACATTTAGATCCTATGAGGTCATGTAATGAATGACTTCCAGATTTCTGGTGCACAGATGTCAATAGTTTTCTTTCTCTAGCATAAAGATAAAGCAATTACTCTGTGGGGAAGTGGGGAAAAAGCTACGGTAAACCGACAATTACGGTCCTACAAACTGTCTGCCTGCATCCATAAACATGCATAGTAATGACTGATACAGAAAGTTGAAAAGGAAACAGGTTTTAACCCACAAGATATTAATCACGCACACAATACACAGAAATTATCCTGAACAGTCTTTACAGCATGCACGCCAGCTCTTTTCCTCCACGTTCGAGTATTTCATGAAATGTTGCACTGTAAAAATGAAAGAGTGCCTAACTACTCCAAAACTCCAAGTAGCAGAACAGTAAAATGGCTACAATCTATAGTACTGCAAAGCCTCCAGCATGAAAAGTAAAATGAGCTCCAATATTTCCAAGCAGTTAAAAAGCTGCATTTCATCATACATACCCACCAAAATTACTTGCATCTGGGAGAACTTAAAAAAAACCCTACTGTTCTCCAGCAGAAGCGGCAGTGACAGAGCTACCCATACTCCAGTGAACACAAGGGGTCTCTTTTGGAACACAGCACTTTGTTACAAACTCGTAACAAGTGTAGAAATTGTCTACCCACAAAAAAAATGGGTTTTCGTCTCCATTTTCACTGACTCTGGGAAAAATCTGCACTCAATAAGATAACATCAGTAACTCTGCAAAAGGAGTATTTTTAAACACCAGTGCATACCCAGTATGAAATTCTATCCAGTGTAAACTGCTTCACAAGCATACTCTAAATTATTAGATCTCAGTTGGCTATGGTTTATTCCAGTAATTAATGTATTTCTCAGGCAGCATAAACATCTTAGCAAATCCCCTCTCGAAGAAAAAAAATGTAACATGAAGTGTGGGGATTTAGTATTGGCCAGACTTTGGGATTATTTCAGCCCTGTCTGCTTTAACAAGTTTGTAGCATTTGCTAGGTTGCTCGTCTTGGGTGATTAAACCCTTTCAAAACAGAGCAGGCACAAATGCTGCCCCAGCTGTCTCGGCTCTCCATGCTTCAGCCGCACAGATACCGTCTCTGAGATTGAAAGCACAGTTTGGTTTCCATGTTTAGACTTGGCCCCAGTGACAGTGTCCCGTGATGGCAAATGCTGCAGTGCCTCTAACATAGTAATCTGCCCTCTGGGAACTAAGAAGAAATATATTATTCACGTTTCAACAGACCCCCAAATAGCTTTGAACGCTGGTATGTGCAAAATTTCTATTGTTAACATTAAAAAAAGGCAGCTTCTCGCTCCTCAGTGTGGCAGTATGGAGCCTCCATGCACTTTAAATTAGCTATTTCTACTGTGTGTGGGGGGAGAAAACCAGCACTGAAAAAAACAAATTTGAGAAACGGAGTTCCAAAGATGAAGCATGAAAAGCAGTAACAAGTGAAATGATCTCTCAATCTTCTCCCACCTCGCTTGGGAAGGATTAAAGAGCATGAACCCCGCAGGAACCAATCCAAGGTTTCAATGAAAGAATTCCTCCTCCTGCTGCAGACGACAATAAAAGCCACATAATGGTATAGAGATTTCCATACTCGAGGTATAACGAATAGATTGGGTGAAAGCCTTCAGGTTTTAATACAGCTGGCACACAGATAATAGCACAGAACTATACATTAGCATACGGTGAATATATGCGCTGTAGGTGGTAGTTCAAAACGTTAATTAAGGGGATATAGAACCTCTCACATTCAGATCACTGACAAATTTGAAGCATGTACACCACCAGGCAAATATTGCTTTTATTTTAGTCTATGGACCAACACTTGGTGGCCAGTTACAGACCAGTAACTGAAAGAACAGACTTGAAATGGGTTTTTCCTTCCTCACTCAAGAAAGTCCATTCAGCAAAAGCTGAAACACTGTGGGAACAGCACTGCATAATTTCTGTATTGTGGCTCACCTTATATCTTTATGCAGACAGTTAGTTTCCAGGGCTGTGGGAACAATCATTTCAAAAAAGAAAAAAAAGGGGGCAGAGGGCCAGAGAACAGCCATTATAAATGCTAGATTCTTGCTAACAGTGAAAAAAGTTTCAAAAACTTCCAATGAGTAAGGATTTTAGTGTGTGGTTGCCTTCTCCCTCTTTGGAAAAGGAGAGGGGAGGATTTAATTTCTTTTTATTGAGGGCTTCACAAGTCTTTTTACCATTTGCTGGCAACAATTTACACTAGCTAGACATAGTGAAACTGTAATACTTCTAAACTCTGTTTACCAGGGAATTTTGTATCAGTAAAGGTATTAACACAAAAATTTTCATTGTCACATGTTACTCTCTTCACAATTACAGATCATAACTAACAAAAACATTATTTTTTTAAACACATTACAAAGCTTTCTGCTTATTCAGAAGAGTTGAATTTCTCAAGCAAACCAGCATCTTGAAAAAAACTCATAGGCACTGCATTGCTCATGGGCTTCTAAGCTAGCAAGCAATTAAAGCCTGTCTTATCTAAAAAGAATCATAAGCTCTGGCCGTAAGCTGCTTCTAATACATTTACACAATCCTACAGACATTGGAGCAAGTCTTGCATATTGGTAAAAGGCAGCATAAACTTGTAAGAATGAGGATAATAAAGATGAACTGTTTTCAAGCAGAGGACAATAAGGCCAATTAAAATCCAAGCCTAGAAACAAGTAACCTACAGAACTTCAAACTAGATATATGAAAGGGGAGAACAGTATGTTAACTGCCCATTCCACAACCGCAGTGATTATGAGCTTTGATTCTTGATGCCTCTTTTTCTTTTTTCTTTTTCAAATCTATATTCCAGTACAGGTACATACCGCCTTTTAAATCAGCTGACGCCCCCACGTACTGGAAGTTGTCCATATTAATTACATCAATAATAGGAGACACAACTCTGGTCTTGTCCTAAAATAAATATTAGAAAGTAATATTGAAATAATGAAATCAATATATCAAGGTTCAGGCAGGACGAGATGTTGAACAGTTCAGCAGTGTTTCAGCAGCACATCTCCCCCAGCTCTCCCCCTGCTCCACCTCACGGCTCTGAAGGGCCAGCGCTGCGAACAGCTCTGCTCAGCACCGCTCCAGAAAGCGGAAACCACACTACAGAGCCGGGAATCCTCTTGCTATTTCTAGGCTACTTCTACTCCAGTGAGCCCTCTCTTCCGCCTTGCTCTTGCAGAAGGCAGCAGACCTGGAGTTCTACAGGCAGTGGAGCAAACAGCACCTCCATTCTTACTTTTAAAACCAGCTCAAAGAAAAGCAGCATCCAGGCAATTCACGTTTTCCACAGCAAGTCTCTAGCCACGCAGTGTACTACAGCGATTATTTCAACCTTTGAGGAACACTTGGGCCTTTGTGCAATCAGAAAAGCCTTGGGTTAATTCCAACCCACTTCACACTAGAAGAATTACACTTCACAGTCAGGTACTTAGATAGGAATGAGAACCTAAAAACCCCTCAAACTAGTGAACGCTACTGATGTCCAGTAGTCAGGATTCCAGTGGTACAGCTACTACATTCCTCTGCCCAGCTATGGCCTCGGATACTACTCTGAGAAATGTTCATTGCCCTAGCTGATGTTTTTGCCAAAAGAGTTTCAGCAAAACAAAAAACCTTTCCAAGAACTCCAAACGCATCATCCAGCAGGATCACAAGACATCGGTACTATAAAAAAAGACTCATCTAATATTAGAAATGCAGTATCATGGTTAAGCCAGTTTGTCTCCACGACACTGGGGGTGGAAGGGGGAGTTAGATTTACACAATGAAGCATAACTTCTACGCTGGTTTGATGAAACACTTTGCTTGAGTTCAAAATAAACGTTTGAGCTCCACAATTCAACATCATTCGGAGAGCACAGACAACTTCAGAACAGTGTATCACCACAACTGCGAATATAAAAACGTGTTTTGAACAAACAGGAGATATTTTGGGAACTCTTATAGAGAAACGGTTCTCATGGCTAAAACACCATACCAACCTAAACATCTACATTTTAAGAACTTTTTTCATAATTCTGTCTTCAGACAACAGTACAGACATTCGAAACAGCGGTTCACCAACAGCCCCCCCTTGTTAATCAGTATTTTACAGAACAGAACGGAACGAAACTAGTATAAGAATAGCTTGAGATCATAACAAGAGACTTCAAAGCAACTCTTTTGGCCAAACGCTTTGCTTGGTCCAATAAGGACATTAAATATCCGTTTTCATTTATTGACTATTAACGATTCAATCCGCACTGATTTTAATATGCCCTAATTACATAGCTGGCATTTACTAGGTCATTCTGCCCAAGAGAGCAACAGGCCACTAACTTCTCCAGCAGCCAAAAGGAGAATCCGAGCGAAGCTATGAGAATCCAAGCTGCAGACTAAGCTAAGAGCTGAAGACTCATTACTGGTTTCTACGTTTCTTTTAAGAGTCACTGCAGCTATACCACCCAGGCCAAATATCTGCTTTCATGAGGGATGTAATACAACATCTAATCAGGTCTGCTCCTAGGTATTAATTAGCTTGGTCTAAAGCAAACCAGAAATACAGACAAAAAAGACCAACCCGCCCTATTCCCCCCCATCGATCACAACTTCAGCTCCTGTTTTGGTTAGCTGTAGCCCCAAGTCCATGTTTGCAATGGCAAGCACTTGGCTTTGCTAACAACTGTGCTGTACTTGGGAGGCGATTGTGATTTACTGCACCTTAACTGCAAAACCCTAACTGTGTTGGTGTGTCCTCCCACACCACTAACGCACTTCAGGCGCACCCATGACCTTATGTTAGGCATTCTATACACAGTGATAGAATTAGAAAACTCCTTTATTCAGAGACTGACGAGACAGAAAATCTCCAGCCTATCCAGTTATTCACACTACACCCATCAGCATGAAATACAAAAATGAGACCACCCTTCCTTTCTTTCTCCTACTTTTCTTTGCTGAAGCTGAGACAGCTTATACAACTCTCTCCAAAAACATTATCTGACAAAAATTTGCATTTTGTCAAATGGTTCTACTTGGCACAGTTGAACCTGGTGGTAAAAGTTGCCCAGGCTAGCAGGTATCACGTTAGGCAGAGCTTCAGTTCAGCTTCAGACTTACCTCCAGCATGCTGAGGAGGCAGGTAGCACACCACCTCTATGCATTTCGAATTTCCTCAGGCTTTTACCACTGCTCTGAGTAGTTCTATCAATATCAGTGTGACACCACACTAACACCACTTGCTACACCTAACATATTATTTAAACAACTCACAGCTTTTTCTCCAACAGACAAATACCCAGGTTGCGAGCGTTCAGTTCCGATGCACAACGCCCACTTTGTTGGCTTGGAAACGTGCTGTTCCTTCCACAATTTGAAATTACAGATTTGCTCAGCAGCAAAGCAGACAAAAGACTTGCACGTTCTTAAGGTGATGCTTTGCCGGGCACTACAAACTTGTTAATGCAGAGACTGCTAAAAAGAGGTTGTGGGCCTCCAAAGTACAGGGAGTTCATTCACTTAAAATACTCAAAAGCAGCTGCTTCCTTTAAATTATCCTAAAGCAAGATACCTATTTATCCGTAGTGTGATGGAGAGAGTCCAGCGGAGGGCTACAAGGATGATGAGGGGACTGGAGCATCTCTCCTGCGAGGAGAGGCTGAGGGAGCTGGGCTTGTTTAGCCTGGAGAAGGCTGCAAGGGGACCTTCTAAATGCTTAGAAATAACTTCAGAGTGGGTGTCAAAAGGACGGGGCCAGACTCTTTCCAGTGGTGCCCAGCGACAGGACAAGGGGCAACGGGCACAAACTGAAGCAGAGGAAGTTCCAGCTGAACAGGAGGAAGAACTTCTTCACCCTGAGGGTGACGGAGCCCTGGACCAGGCTGCCCAGGGAGGCTGTGGAGTCTCCTTCTCTGGAGATATTCAAGACCCCCCTGGACGCGGTCCTGTGCAGCCTGCTCTGGGTGACTGCCCCTGCTGCGGCAGGGGGTTGGACTGGGTGACCCACAGAGGGCCCTTCCAACCCCTGCCATGTTGGGATTCTGTGACAGCAGAAATCTGGTGTGCATTTTCGAAACAAAAACACAAGCAAAAAAGAACTCCTCTTTTTGTAATCTCCTGTTCCATTTTGAAGGGTTGACACCATGACTTCTAATGGAACACACAACTGGAAAACCATGTGCTACTTGGCAAGTGTAATGGAAAGAAATTGCCCGTGAATAGTGCAAGTGTCTAGTGCCTGGAAATTTGTAACTGACTATTTCATTTTAATATTTCATAAAGAGGTTATGTATGCTCTAGAGTCTTAGACTATTATGTATTATTCTCATAAACCATCAGAAATTATCCTCAAGGTTCTGTATACATTGCTTCCCCCTCTAAAAAAATCTCAAGATACTTCAGAGATTTAGCTTCACAACGCTCTTAAGAGAAAATATAAATATTTTCCTTTCAGCATTGTGCCAGTTAAAAATTGACTTGTTCAAGGTCACAAAATCTGAGACAGATATGAAAAAGGAATATAGGACTTACAGTTATGCTATGAAAACAGATTAGTTCAGTTCTGCACCAGAATCTTCCAATTATTATTTTCCTCACATAGCTGATGTATTGTAAGAATAGACCATCACAGTGATTAGAAATTAGAAAAGGAAATAGCCCAGTATACACATGTTCATGAAATCGCTAGTAGTTACCAATGTTTTCAAGGCTGTGTACACCTATTACTATGTTGATATTTTGGGGGAAGCAAAGGGTTAAACTCCACTGGCTCCTCGTTTAATCACCCCTAGCACACACACAAAAAATCCAGAAGACGCAGAGCATAGCTGTGAGAAATCAGGCACAAAACCATTCTGCAGGAGGGAGCAAAGAGGGAGAAGATACGCCAGCTCCAGGTTATACAGGTATCTGCACACATTCTGAACTCTAAAGCCTTCACCTTACATGTATATTGCTTCTGCTTTAAGCCTTTGTTCAAGCTGCCGAAGCAAAATCCCTGGCAGTGTCAGACCCCTCTAGGAACGCTAAGCAAGCCTGGTCAATAGACAAAGATACTCTAACCAGGAAACCACCTCAAAGAAGAAAACTGTGGGATGGGTCACCCTTCAGCTGAAAAGGAGAGCTTCGTGCCTCAGGCGCTCCTAACACAAGCCAGATGTCCAAGACACAGCTTTCTTAAGTGGTTACAGCACATCAGACAGAGTATTTTTATACTGTAACACACACAGCTACAAGTCCAACAGAATTAAATGCCAAGTGGGCAACTCTGGAGCAAAAGGAAAAAAGAAAACCCCCACACCTCCCACCACATACAGAACAGATGAAGCAGCACTTCAGAAAATACTGTATTAATGTATAGTAGGCCTGGACCTTAAAAAATTACCTTTGAGGCCAAAGCAGATAGGAGTTCACATCTATTCAGCTTCTCATCACTGAGACTATCAAGAAAATGCTGCCAATTAACATCAATTAACATACCATCTGCACTGTGAGCAAAATCAATTTGTTTAAAATAACAAAGAACTATCGTGCACTCTATGTAAACACTCTCCATGCCTTCATTATTTGAACAAGCAGAAAGCTTAGAAGCTAATTTATCAAGTCCCGTAACTTGCTGGTTGGGAATCTTCCCAGATGAAAGTAAACTGGAATGCCATATCAATAATTTATTTAACAGTACATCAAGCTCTTAAGCATGGAAAACTGTATTTATACAGCTGAAAACTATTCAAGGGCAAACATGATTAGTGTGTATCACGGTGACAATTGTGATGAGCAAGTTTTAAAGGACCTAATAATTCACGTGCTGCTAAAAAGCAGCTGCTGCACAAAGCAAAACCTGCACCAGTTTCTCCCACCAAAGTATGCCCCGTGTAACGCTGGGTCTTCACAAAATTGACAGCAATTTATTAAGAGGTTTTACGGTCTGTTACGATGCAAAGGTACCACTTTTCCATATCCTATATCTGTTTCAGAAAGCTAAGTGAGTATGCCCCGAAAAAAAGGCATAGAGAAGAAAAAGGGTAAATGGCAAAATAGCTGTCTTGCTAAAAGCAGGGGTTTTTTCTCAAAACTACCATTTCTCTTCTGATTTCTTGAACAGGTAGAGGCTTTAAACCATTTACACAAAAAGGCTTGAAAACACTTCCCACATCCTACAATCCATTAGTACTTTAGCTGAAAGCATTCTTCACTTCCTTTTGAGATATATTTAATGCCTTCAAGTTTATTTTCCTAGTTAATAATTATAGAGAAATTCCCCCAACCCTTCTGAGGCTGCGACACTTTACATGGGCACAAAAATAGCAGGAACAGCTACGTTATGCATGCTCAAGGGCTCTGTAGGCTGTAGGTACTTTAATAGTGTCCAGGTTTGAGTAGATTAAAGTTATTTCTACTCCAGAATAGGATTTTAACTGCTGATGTGTTTTAGGCAACTTACAGTATTTCTGGAATACACAGTAAACCATCACAGAACCAGACGGAGTAAGGAAAATCGGTTGTCGGTTGATAGCTTCTCCACTGGCATATTGACTATACAGGTTTCACTTGTTTTTTATCCCCCATTCCCTTTTGGGGAGGAAATGCAGAGGGAAGCATAGGGAGAATAAGCAGAGAACTGGGCACTAACAAGACAGGGTAGCTTAGCAAAACCTTTTTGCCTAGGAGCCTTTTGAAAGAAAGCCTTTCCAGGAAGGGGAGTTTACCAGAAAGGGAATGGAATTAAGAAGGAAGAAAAACCCTTTTGTCTTGAGTGTTCCCCAGAGCTTTTTGGGATCACACTTGATTCACCTTCTGCTTCAAATGAATTCCTCCAGAGCAAGTTAGCAAGTATAACCAACCCCTGGAGAAAACAGCATCCTTTCACTCCCAACCCTCCCTATTGCTTTTCCAGGACACAGACTAAACATCATTTTCATAGAAGCTGAGAGCCAACAGTCCCTGCTAATTTCCATGAGAATTTTGGTTTCACGGCTCAACCTCTCTCCTATTATCACACCAACTCTTAATGAGGCATAAATGCACAGGTAAACTGAATTACATTGAGGTGATTTTGGTTGAGGAGAACTATACTTTGCCCTGAAGATTTTCAGCACTTTCTGAGGAGGTCCCTAACGAACCAAAGCAGCATGTATTTAAATTGCCTGTAAAGATAATAATAAATATTCAAGTTTTATGTTCCTACATTCACAGACTAAATGAACAAAAAGGGGTTTTAATCACAGAACACTCCGACCATCTTCACCATCTCACTTCCGACAAAAAGCTTCCTTCGAAAAATGCATTAAATTAATGTAGTATAAACCAGATGGCTTTAAAATTTAAAAGCTACTCCTTCAGGAAATTACTTTAAAAGAACTCTTTACTAACCTCAGCTACCCTTTCCAGAAGCGGTTCCAGCCAGTGTTCGTTGCACTCACAGTGACTATCCAGGAAGGTCAGCACTTTCGCCTGGGCTGCATCCGCCCCTCTGACACGCGAGCGCATCAAGCCTGAGAAGCAAAGATTAAAAGTTATAAGCAGTTGCTGAGGAAAGCAATCAACAGTAGTGAGAAACTATTGCATTCCAAGTAAGTCATGACTTAAATCACTCTAACTCAGACAAGTTCCATTATCAAAATGAGATGCTAGTTAACAACTTGGTGAAATCACTTCATCCCAAATGGCGTGCAAGCCTCCAACCTGCTCTACAGGTTTCAATCTGATTAAAGTAGAAGAATTAAAGTACCTTTTTCTGAAACGTGAGACACAAATACAGCTGGGTCTGCATTACCGTAAAGGGCATTTATACTGATAAACATTATTCAAGATCGGTCCTGAAAACAAACACCTTTCCTACAGTTCTACGACAGGACTGAGGAAAGCACCATCATTAAACTTTTCCTCCCCACCTTTTTGCCACCCCCTCATCTTAGTTCCCAGTCTGTCCATTCTTCTATTAACTTCTTCCAAAAATAACCATGGACCATTAATTCATGTCTGAGAGCCTTCCTCCCACCCCTTTCAACTGCCTTTCCCCTGTGTTTCTTGTAATTCTCTTGTTTCGTGGTTTGCTGGGTGGTTTTTGTGGGTTGGTTTGGTTTTTTTAAATCTTACCTTGAAAAGATTTCTTTAGGAGAAAACTTCTGATAAAGTAAAGGTTCTTCTCTACAGCTCAATTACACCGATCCCCTCACTGATTTACCCTCTTCCTTTCCTTCCTTCCCTTTTAATATTTAGGCGTTGGATGAGCTCTACATATACACACATACGCCAGAACATCCCGTCGTGCATTTCAACACTGAAAAATAACAAGCTTCCTCTCATTCCTTTGCAAATTTCTTCCCCACTCTTCTCTATTACTATTCAAAATTCATTGATGTCATTGTCTCTCAAGACCAATGTCAAGTAATTATTTTTTTGCCTTTTCCCTTCTACCTCGTTTCCCACCAAATCTGTTCTGTTCCCCCTCCCCGCAACTCAAACTTTGCAGAAGAGTCAACCTCCTTTCTTCCCATCTCCTTTACAAAATAAACCTGCAAAACATGACTCTGCCAAACAGAATACACGAAAATTTGTTCACTCTGTCCTACATTCACCAACAGCCCCACCGAGATCCTTTTACCATCTTCTACCGCAAATGTGAGCACTTCCCTGCTGAAGACACGCGCTGTGCTGATGCTCTCTGACAGTACTTTCTACACCTCATCCGTGGCACACGGGCAGCTAACTACACCTCGCTGTTCTCATCTGTCTCCCTAATTCCAACCTTCGAACCTGTTCTGGTCAGTTTTCCCACATCAGACCATTCCTCAAGCGCTCTATGTTCAGTTTACTTTTGCAATTCCTCCTTCCAGAGCTTATTATTTATAACTTACATTCTCATGGAGCCTACTGCCTTGCTCTGCTTCCATAGAAAACACAGAGCAGCATTTTTAATTTCAGATTTAGGGGCAAAAAAATGAAGGCGACTGCATGGGCCACCAAGTCCTCTACAACCACATTCAGTCTTGCAACAGCAAGAGTCAAGAAGATTCCACTGGACATTCCTTCTGTAGACTACCACACCCTTCAAAACACATCTGTCCCCATGAACTCTGGTCCTACAGATGAGCCTAAGAGCTACTACCACTTCTTTCTGAAAGCAAGGCAGTCAGCATCATCCCCTCCACAGACACCATCTCTTTATTTTAATTTTTGTTTTAAAACACATTGCTTTCCTCTGTTGTTCATACTACCGTGTTACTCTCAGCATTCTGTGTACTGGTTGATTTTACTGATTCTCTTAAATTTTAATCTGTGTATGTCTGAGATATCAGTATCAGCCTACACTTCAAAAGCAAAGTATCAAACTCAAGCACAGCAAGCCAGCAATCAAATGAAATTTTACAGTATTTTAGTTTAAAAAATTATCACCTGGGTGCACATATGGATACCTAGGCAAAACTTTACGAACAGTGCAGTAGATCCCATGGGTAATAATTTAACCTTAATCTCAGAAAAACAATGATTAAACTAGTTCTGTGCCTTCAATCTGCAAATAGTTGTTCTTTTCTGACATAGTAAAAGACTTGTCAAATCATATTTCATTTTCAGATATAAAATTCATACATTTAAGTACAAATCTGTATATGCAGTGCAAAGTTAGTATTTGTAATCACTAAAAAATAAAAATTAGGAAAGTGTTACTTCAGCCTGGTTTTTCCATTACTTTCATCTCCATCTTTCAGTGCTGTACTGATCAGATAAACGACATTAACTTACTCGGAACCCTGCAACCATGGCAAGTCCGAAAAGGGCTGCTTTCTCAATAAGCCTTTGTTCAACAGTATATTCCAAACAAAATGTTTAAACATTAAGAACCCATCAGTTCGTACTAACTTCAATTATGGGATAACACAGGTTTTGGGCATGTCCTTTCCAGTTCCTGACAAGCTAATGATTGTAGCTGCTCCCCAGGCCAGGGTGGCAGCCTGGAAAACACGGTGCTTATAAAAATAAACAAGCACATATCTGCTAATTCAGTCAGCTATTTCAACTGTCAGCTCTCAGTTATTACTTCAAACAGCTGTAGAATAACAGTTGCCTATGTCTAATACTTTAAGCTCCACAGCCAGGCAACCGCTGACTGAAGGGCTCAGTGATATGAGACCACAATTTACAAAGCAGCAAAGACAACAAAAAAAATGTAAGACAAGTTAGTTACATGGCCCACTGGCTTCAGCAAAACTGGCTGCTCAAACCCTCTGCAGTGTGCCAAAACAAACCGTTTGCCAGGCTGCCCATCAACTGGATCCTTAAAATGCTGTCTAGTAAGAAAGCCAGCATAAAAAAAAAAAAGGGCTCTTTTTAAGCTAGACCTTTTCAAACATTCATACAGTCTACAGTGAGACCTTCTGTACAACGGGAACAGCTTACGTACAGATTCAGTACAGTAAGAGCATGGAGAGGTTGTAGGTGAAAGGCAATTTCCCAAGTCAGCTTTCACCATCAAAGTCAGCAATGAGCAACTGGGCACAGAACAATATGGAATTCATCAGAATTACTGGTTTTACTCGCACAAACGAAATTGTCTTTATTTTTTCCACTAGTAAGTTGATTTATAAAGTGAAACTCCCCCCTCTAATACAGAATGTATAGCAGAATGTTCCTTTAAAGGACTTGATGAAGATGAACAGATGAGGCAGCACAGCGGAATTTGTATCTTCCTTTCCCCAGATGAAGCCTACCTTCTCGGCGATCATTTCGAAGAACCCGCACTTTTTCAATTTTTCCCAAGAGAGCACCATCCTCAGCTTTAAAAAATAAAATAATAAAAAACAAAAAATCAAGGCATGAGAACCATTTTGATATCCAACACTGTATACCATAAGAGAGGCTGTCTTCAAAGAGAAACAAAAGCTTTGTTGTGGAAAATGTTTATGGTCGTAAATAGTTAAATATAAGATATATGCTTAAAAAAATACCTACTCATCTCACCAGAAATTAAAAGTTACCAGGCTAAGAAATTACTACCTTCATTATATTATTTAAAGCTAATTTAATCTTACACTCTTGAAATATTTTTATTGAATGATATTCTCTTTGCTTACTTTAGACAGTTTCTACATTGCATAAGAAAAAAATAACTTCTATAGGATTAAATAAACTGTTTTCTTTGCACATAAGAAAGCTCATTTTTTAACCAAGATTAAGGCTTAAACCTACCCTAGGCTAGTTATCAACTCGCAATGCAAGTGCAGACATTAGCTTCCTTTATGAAACGTTACTCAGAGGTCCATTTCTACTGTTCACTTTTGTATCGGGATACCCTAGTACTTACACGACCTTGACTTGTTTTAGGTTCAGAAGGAATTTTTCCGAGATCAATGGAGACCAGCATTCATTTAAAGCAGTGCTACAAAAGCATTTTGTGCAAGCACCACAGGTTTTATTTTTACATCATGTAACATACTATGGAAAGGCTGTTTTCAGCAATACACTCTGCTCCTTCAGCTAACAGAAAGTAATAAAATACACCTGAAGTATTCATCAGAACTCTTTACATTTCCACAACGACAGATATGAAAGAATTAAGACCTGGGTTTGGATGAGTCTCTGCAAACTCCTGTGCATGTGACCTATTCTCAACCGAGTCACCTACTAGCATCTACAGGAAGTCTTACTAGAGTAAAAAAAAATAAAGTTAGGACCCTGTAAAAGTACTTACGATCGTTACTGTAGTCATCCACCAGTATGATTTCCTTAATAAGATGCGATGGGCTTTTTTTCAAGACACTGAAACAGACCAAAAAAAAAAAAAGGCATTCAATACTAAGTCTAAATTTTCCACACTAATGTTATAAAAGCAGTTACTTTGTTAAGCCACAGTAGAACCTCGCCCAGGATGCTATCCTCAACAAAAGCTACTGGTTTCTTCCCATGAAAAGTGTCTGTGAAGAGGCACGTGTAGAATTGTCCCTTCCCCAAATCCCAGCCTCCAAAAATCAGTGCATTAGATAAATTGTAGCACCAAGTTTGGCAGATATCTTTACGCCAAATAGCCCTTGAGAGTCCCCCTTGCCTGACTTTTTCTTGAAACTAGTTATACAGCCAGCCTCAAAGCTCATGTGGTTACTGGTTCCATACTTTGGTGCATTTGTAGAAAAGGGGGGCGATTTTGCTTAACATCGCTATTTCAAAATGTAAGAACTGGAGGCATCAATGAAATTAAGACCCATCCTTCCCTCTGCAAATGGTTCACAAAAGCATGATGGATTGTTACTTCCCTTCCTTATCATACACCATTATCTGACACAAATCCACGGCCTTTAGGGAAAATTCAAGGTCTCTTAGGTATACCTGACGACAGTTCGCAGCAACGCAGACCTCGCCTCGTTATGAAAGGTGATCACCACGCTAGTGGCTGGCAAATCTATCCGCCATTGTTTCCGCTGGCACCTGAAAGACATAACACCCTGTCATTTGGACACCACATTTACACCCCAGGGTTAGCAAACAGCTTTCATCACGAAACAGCTACCTACTAAACTCATGTACGCACTACATCTACCTAGGAAGAAGGAAATATCTTGTTTTCAGGCGAGATTATAATCAGCTCCTCTTTTGCCACTTCTGGTAGTTGTCTAACCAGTCAGTGTCAGATATAGGCAGGTTCCGAAAAGTCACCAGACCATCATCACTGCAGTGTGTCATAAATACCTTTTATGCAACTGAGCATGAAACCAGAGTGCTCATTTTACTTTAAGAGCATTTCATACATCTAAGCAAATGAGCGTATTTTCAATGCAAATACATGGGTTCACAGGCTACCATGTGTCTCCTCTTTAGAATGGCACGTGTCCACTTCTCTCTTCATTTTTAAAGCTACTGTAGCATTCCTGGTCTTGCTCAGATACAAATTCTCATTAGAACAGAAAATTGTTTTTCAGGATTCTAACATTCAGAATTTGAAAAACAAAGCTAGCTGTGACAATGTGGAGCCAACTAAACACAGAACCACATCCTTCCAAACCATAAAGATAATGAAATATTCCATCTATGTCGACTCATTTTTCATCACCTTTAGTAGCCTGAAATAATCAGCAAAAAGAAGCAAATCCCAAAATATTTCCTGCAGGAGTACATAAAATTAAGGTGTTTAAATCCACCGACAATAAATCTAAAAGAAAGGCTACTCTCGTTGTATTAGAAACTAACAGTACTAGAAAACACTCTATGTTGAGTTTATGCTGAACACATTACGGTCTGACAGGTCACAATACCGATACCCATGCACGCAGTAACGCACAGAAATGATGTATTTCTTCACATATCCTTCATTTAGTATTAGTGGTAGAGCTTTAACAGGCCTAGTTATCTTCAGAGGGGACAACCCAGCTAGCACACACTTGTAGCAAATTCAGCAAGTAATTCTGTACCCTGTGTAGTATTACTCAAACTAGCTTTTAAGGGAAGAGAGGTAAGTTACGTTGCTACCTAAACTTCTAAACCTAGGCCTCTGCCTATATAAAAGGCCTCTGCACCTGATCAAACATCCATGACGTGCATCAGAAATCAATCTCCAACTTCGTGGAATCCGAGAGTGAGCAGCGATGCGCTTCTTGCCCTTGCCCACCCCACAAAATCCCAAGGACCTGCAGCATTTTCGATGTAACACACCCAGAGCATCACATGTGTTAGTGCTCGCTGTGAAACCAAACATTATGGTGCTGTGGTGACCTCAATTTCTCTGAAAAACAATGCCCATTCCACCCCCACGACTGCTGTGCCAGATTAGCAAGACCTTGTCGAGCTTTGTTTCTCAAACGGTGAGCATACAAGATGGCTTCGGCACTAGGCCCAGCGTTGAAGCAATAAATCAAACCTGTATGTGTTCCTTGAAAGTAAAAAAATTAAGACTACCTCTACTGTGAGCTCCTGACAATCCATTTAGACAGCTACGAGACATACAGCTATCATACACCAAAGCCTGTGGTGCCACAAGAGATCCTCTTTTTTTCTGCTAACTTTCCAATTGCCCACAGAGGACGAGCCTACTGTGCAGGCAGTTATCACATGAAGCACTTGCATTAGAACAATTTTAGTAAGTCACGTTAAACTTCTGTGGATCTCTCTGCAGAAGAGAGCACTTGAGCCAGAGCACATCTCAGGGTAGAATTACTCAAGGCAATGAAGCTTCCCAATTTTAAGAAAACTCAAGAGCACTACTGCATATTTCTGCGGGAGAAATTGGGATTTTTAGACTTCCAAATAAAACTGGAGGAATGTTTCACTGAGTATTTCTGCTCTCAGCTCTTCAAAAATCCCTGCTTTAACTGAGTCAGTAGCTGTCCTCCTTCTATTCTGCCGTGTCAACAGGGCCACAGCTGAAACTCAAACCAAAGAAACAATGTCATCACTCCTGGCACAGATTAGACTTTCTTTCCTCAAGCTACAGCACTTACACATGCAGAATGAGGAAATTCATTTGGATAAAACAGAACTTGACCCGAAAACTTCAATCTAGACCTCCACTGCTTAGTATAGGTCAATAAAATCAGTTAAAACATGAGAAGTACATTCTTTCCCCCAGAAATTTGAGTCACTGTACTAGTTCTCGCCATTAACAAATTTTCTGAAACCTCCATGGTTTGCTGAAACCATATTTTGACAGAAATATCCACTTCAACCAGTGCAAGGAGAACGTTCACTTCAACAGATACCAAAAAGACAGAAAAGTTTGTTTCTTCTCTACTTAAGAATAAAGCTCGAGTGTGAGATCAGGAGCTTCTAATAGCTGCCAAATGAGAGAGAAAACACGGTTTGGTCCAGCTAAAGCATTTCCCAGCAATTCTCAGGAATCATGCCAACACATCAGGCAAGAGATGTGATCAGAAACCACTGGTCCAAAGTAGGCGTGGTAGACATCGGTCCACAAAAAACCCAGAGTATTTCTCCTTTCACCCCACTTGGGCGACTGTTTGACACTGACAGGAGGACAGCGCTGGAAGCTTCCCATTACGACCGTGATGCTCGCTTTCTGGATCTCCACGGTCTACCAGGAGAGGGACAGCCCTCGGTTACAGGCTGTCAGCAGACTGCAGCAGAAGGAAACCCTGAGGTTTCTCCAAGCTGTTGGACGGGGCAGTTGTGAGCATCAGCCGGGGCAAGAATCTGCCCTTCTGCTCAGGCCTCCTCTCTCTGCTTCCTTTCTTGCGTTGCGTCTGCCTGTCGCTCACCTCTCCCTTTTGGTTGAAATAAAGGCAAGCAGCTTAAACAGGCGACCCAAAGTGTTTTCTAGTACTGCTGGCACGCTCTCACAAAAAGTAAGTAGAAAACTTTGGTCTTAAGCTGAGGTAGCGAAAGTTTGTCTGATGCAGAAAAGACTAAACAATTATAATATTAAGAGATGTGTAATTACACACGCATTTACATATCTAAAGTAGAACCCTGATAAATTGCTCCTAACAGCCTAGACAACTTCAGCAACTAAATAGTATTATTATGTAATTATTTTTAAAGTCAAACAGCCTCTTAGACACATCAATACAAATAATAAAAACTTGCAGAAACAAGTATTTCCTCATCCAGGTTTCTCTTCTTGAAGACAAAGACTGTAGCAGTGCCATAAGAAATCTTAACCTTCACCCAGTCGCCTCCAATTTTATTGAAAATAACATGCTTCCAAGTGTCACGTGCTCAGATCTGTAACATATTCTTCTTCCCATGGCTATTGCTCTTGCTCTTGCCATTGGACAGTTCCCAAGCAAACATTTCACGCGACTTTCAGCTTCTGCAGTGAACGTCCTTGCCAAAATAGAAGGAAACTTAATTGCAACGTGGCAGGGAAAGCATCATGGACAATTTGCAGGGTTTTTCTTAAAGAAAAAAAAAAAAACAACTAACAAAAAAAAAATGACCATTTACAGACTGATGGGCACTTAAATCTGCTCCATGGCAAAGTCTAAGTAATAATCACATATAGCCTTTCCCCAGAAACACCTCTCTCTCCACTGCAGGGCTCTTTTCCAGCTCCGTTTAGTGAAAAAACCCAGGCAGGTCAGCATATAATCACAACACTGACAGTTAAAACAAACATAGCCACTGTAATATAATTTGTCTCTTGTCATCTTTTATTTAAGTTCTTCTCAAATGAGAGCATTTGTCTGCTAGACCTCCCTCAGAGGTTATTAAATATCTAGAAAAGTTCCCAATTCAGCATATCTGAGTCATGGAAGCTTCTAGAAGTTGGTGGCTGAGTTTTGCTCTTACGGGAAAAGAATACCTGGTCTAAAAAGTTGGAATGCATTTCCTGTGAAAGAAGTACATGTGATGAAGAAAATTCAGAAGTCATTTTCAACTCCTCAGTACACCACGGGCACTGTGCTTTTCACCTCTTTCATGGCAATAAGCGAAGCACTAGATTCTTCCTACTTATCTGTTCAATTAATGGCAAATTATATAAGACTGACTTTACCCTATCTACAAATCACCTCCTTGAAGGAACCTAAACCCATGCTATTATACAAGGGATTGAAACAATGACACAGTGAGCATCTGAATTTTTATAGAGATCATCTTCGCTACGCCATTCCCGGTTAAAGAGCTTTATGGAGAAAAAAGCAGGCACCTTCCTTTTCTTTCTTCCTCTGGCATCTCCTCCAGCTTCTTCTACCCACAAAGCTGTGAATGTATGTTCATCCTAACTGCAGAATTATTTAGGCAAATTAACCTACACAGTTGGCTAATTTTATGCTTTGAGACCAAGCTTGCCTAGTTTTTAAGACCAAGTTCAGCCTGCTTTTGTCATTTTTAAGTTATGGAAGTCCTAATGAGCAACTATTGTTTTAATACTAATCATTTCTGCTTATACATGACTAATGCAAGTCACTCAAACCCTTTTTGAAACTAAAGTCTTCTCTATCCACAAGAAAATAAAATATTTTCCTTACTCTGAAGTGTACTATTTCCTGAGCCTGCACAAGCAGCCTGCCATAGCAAAAGTCTGCAAGCACCTGAAGTGTAATTCTGTCCTATGTTCACCAGGGTGTGCATCAGCGGATTCCTTTCGGTCTGGAGTTGACAATTGTCACACACTCAGAACAGAATCACTGAACGACTGGGATCACAAGGGGCCGCTGGCAATCTTTTGGTCCAGTCTCCCTGCTCAGAGCAGGGCCAGCCACAGCAGGCTGTGCATCATCGGGCTCTGAGCATCCCTAAGCCTGGGGCCTTCACACCCTCCCCGGGAAACCTGCTCCACTGCTTGATCATCCTCACGGCGACAAATGCAGAAATCAAGAAAAGCCATCAGATCAACAGCAACAAGAAGAGACAGAAATGCAGCACCAGTTTGGATATCGAATACACACCGATGGGAGCCATGGAAACAGAAAAACCTGAATAAGATTCATTGTTCTTTAACCCACTGTTCAAGGATCACACCACAGCTTACTGTTCCCGTCATTTCGAAAGCTGGAGAGCTCCTGCTTTAGAAGGACCACCTTCTGCTCCAAAGCCACAAATACAAAATGTTTAATCCAAGTCAAACCCAGCTCAGTGTGGCACTTACTGGTCATGCCTGGTGTCAGGAATGCTTCGGTCCATCCGCAGTTTGTCACTTTCAACCTGATTGAACTTATTGCGGGCGTACGGATCCTGCCCAGACCGCACCACGGTAGCGCCGACATAAGCATCCTGATCAAAGTCTTGCCACCGAACCTTTCCTGCAGTAGAAAACCAGGAAAATATCCAATTTAATCTTCGCGATCTACAGAACAGCATTCAGCCATCCAAATGTAACCAATGAAACAGCCTGGGTTTTAAATTTGCAACAAAGTAATTAAACATCAACAGTATTGTTAACAGTGAAACATCAGTCGCTTGTGCGTATTAAATTCCTCTAGAACATCGTGTGAATTAATAGCAAATTGAACGATTTTACAGATCTCAGTTTAGACAAGTAATCAGCAGACCGTGCTACATCTTGTCTGTTTTGTTTGGATTTTTTTTTAACCCCAACTAACACAATTCCCATTTAAAAAAAAAAAAACAACCCTCCACATATCGACAGGCATTAATAACGGCAGATGATCTGGCTAGAAAGCTATCCAAGAAACATTTATTGTTTTAAGAACCAGTCCAGACTTCAAAGACTTTACAATTTAATTTACTGTCTCACCACACAAGTAAAACCACAGTCGGTTATAATCGAACCATTTGAGGAACAGGCCTTTCAGAAGACCAAGACAAGATTATTCTCCAAAACCAGCATTTCACATGGGCAGAGCGGTAGATCGCTCTCCAATAGGACACAGGAATCATAGGATCACTAAGGTTGGAAAAGACCTCTAAGATCATCAAGTCCAACCATCACCCCAACACCACCACGCCTGTTAAACAGAACTGATTCACAGATCTTTGACAAGGGCCGTGTTACCGTGGGACCGGTCGTGGCACTCACATGGATAGGTACACCAGCATCCAGCCACCAGGAACGACACTTGAGGTCCTTCACCACCTTCAGGTGCACAACAACAACATGATATTTACCAAGTGTCTTTAAATTACCAGTTCTTACCTCTGGTTGAACATTTACCTTTTTGCCTGCCAAACCTATGCTACCTACAGCAAATTTATACCACCTTTAACTGAAACTCGGAGCTCAAGTTCTAATGCAATACAAACATTATTGTTTTAAAATGGATGCGTATGAGCATCTCCTGCAAGCCTGTTGTGGTGAACACAGAATGCCACTGGCATAAAAAAAAGAGATACAGAGCAAAAGCTGTCTCTTGGAGTCACTGTTTATCACAGATGAGAGGATCTAATATATTCACTGTTTTGATAACTAACACACAAAGTTTCTGAGGTACTTTCAATTAAGTTCAGTAAGCAGCATGTTCCAGAGATATCTCAGAATCCCAGCACAGCAGGGGTTGGAAGGGACCGCTGTGGGTCACCCAGTCCAATGCCCCTGCCGAAGCAGGGTCACCCAGAGCAGGCTGCACAGGACCGCGTCCAGGTGGGTCTGGAATATCTCCAGAGAAGGAGACTCCACAGCCTCCCTGGGCAGCCTGGTCCAGGGCTCTGTCACCCTCAGAAGGAAGAAGTTCTTCCTCCTGTTCAGGAGGAACTTCCTCTGCTTCAGTTTGTGCCCGTTGCCCCTTGTCCTGTCGCTGGGCACCACTGGAAAGAGTCTGGCCCCATCCTCCTGACACTCACCCCGCAGATATTTACAGGCATTTCTAAGGTCCCCTCTCAGCCTTCTCTTCTCCAGGCTGAACAAGCCCAGCTCCCTCAGCCTCTCCTCGCAGGAGAGATGTTCCAGTCCCCTCACCATCCTCGTAGCCCTCCGCTGGACTCTCTCCAGTAGCTCCTCATCTTTCTTGAACTGGGGAGCCCAATACTGGACACAGTACTCCAGATGAGGCCTCACCAGGGCAGAGTAGAGGGGAAGGAGAACCTCCCTCGACCTGCTGGCCACACTCCTCCTAATGCACCCCAGGATCCCATTTGTTTTCTTGGCAGCCAAGGCACACTGCTGGCTCATGGTCAACTTGTCATCCACCAGCAGTCCCAGGTCCCTCTCCACAGAGCTGCTCTCCAGCAGGTCAGCCCCAGCCTGTATTGGTGGATGGGGTTGTTCCTCCCCAGGTGCAGGACCCTGCACTTGCCCTTGTTGAACTTCACCCAGCTCAGCTTTCAGACAAATATCATAGCTCAGGCATATCCTAAGCTAAGCTGATACGCATAGAGGGAATACGGCTCTAACAGGTACTAACGAGAGAGTCAGAGGTTGCTTAGATGTTTCAAGGTTTGCCTTCGCTCCGTCTCTCAGGCTGCACCTCATGGAAACTAAGGCAGGCCTCCTTTACAGCTTTCTATCCATAAGCTGTGCCCCAGTTACGGTGCATCAACTCCCACTACAAGGCTCTGATACTGAAAGAACACTTCCCATGTTTAAACAAAATAACTGTCTGTTCTTTAACCGGACAAATACCACCAACTTACTTAAAAACGCTCTATAATCTCAGGATCGTCCCAGGAGCTCATCTACAAAAGCAGCTTGGACCCAAGATGTGATTTGGTTATCAGATGGCAGGGGAGGTTGCAAGGCAAATATATCAAGGCTGGGGAAGGAAAGTGGTTTTGAGTTGGCTGGTTTGTTTTTAAGAAAACTTCCAACATCCAAGTAAGTCACAGAGTAAGAGAAGCGCCCCTACTTTTGGATTGCTGGTTAAAGAGCTAGCCAGTTAATACTAAGCAACTATTTTTACATCTGAATTATCATCCTAAAGAAGTTAAAACATGCACACACACAGAGAAAAGCCAGAACCAGGGAGTTAAGCAAAACCAGACTGCAGAACATTTAAGAGACATTTGGTGAAGCAGCCCAGAGGGGAAACTACAGGAAAATAACTGGAGGGAGAAATACAGGTTTTCTAATTTCAGTTACTGAAGGAATTCTAAAAAGGAAACTTTCCAGCTGCTTTTGGTAGCCCACAGACCACCAAGAGTTTTTCTTGGCCTTTCAAGTACTTTCTTCAAAATATTTCCAGGAACTTAATTTGAAGACAAGTTTACACCTCAGCCAGCTACCATACTACAAATAACCCAACACAGAGTTATTTATGAAAACTGCACCAAACCTCACTTGCAACAAAACTATACAAAATGCAAGAGTGGCTTGATTCAGGGAACTGGCAGAAACAACAGAGATCACCAGATCATCTCCCTGTATAACTCACCCACTTAGCATTTCCCAAAGCTTTTGCAGACGCCTTGGTAACTAAACTATATTACCACCCTTGCTTCTAATTTATAATATAGCTCCAGTCTGGAACATATGTTGAATATTTTCTGAAATACAGGGCATGTCATGTCCCTGCTTTTCCAGCCTAAAAATACAGATTTTAGTATATTTTAAAAAATATAACCTACACTTAAAAATGCATTTATATAGGACTTATAACTTTCACACATTCCAACTTCCATTGGATTTTAATGCTACGCCCGCATCAGGACTGCCGCCCCCATCCACTTCTCCAGTTGCCTTCCATCCAGTGGAAAGAGCAGCTGGAACACAAGAGGTCCCAAGGGCATCACACCAGTTCTTCTTGAACAAGCCGTCTTCTTCATGAACTACAAACGTGAGCTGCCCACGTGGTTACAAGTGCTAACGGCTCGAGTTAGCTGCCGGAAAATGAAAGGCTGATCCAAAGCTAAGTATACTGTCCAGCCTTATTTTCACTGAAAGCCTTGCCTTTCTGACAATTCATCGAGTTAATTTTGAAGTTACAAGTGGGTTAACAAACCTTTTCCAATAGTACATACTGTTTCTGTTGTATGCTTCCCCGAGCTACACAAATAGAAGCATGTTTGATTTAATTTCTTCTGGGCAGTTGGCTGGCTCTGTAGTTTCCTGAGTTTCAATGACTTTGCCAGGTGGAATGAGTATCAGAAAATGCAGCTACATTATTTCAAACTTAATTTAAGCACGGCTGTAATTTCAAATTCAAGCAAATGTGTGTTTACCTGGACTGTGACCTAACATGACAATAAATTAAGCTTTTAAAATAAACAGTAAGTGAACTGCAGAGTTTGCTATCAGGCAGAGGAAAAAACAAACAAACAAACAAAAAAAAACAACCCCACACACCAAAAAAACCTGAACCAGCTAAGAACCTGGAACCAGCATATGCTGCAGTTCTCAGCTCAGTTTTGACAAGAAGTGCTTGTTTTCCACACTGTTCTGAACCCGAGAAGCTGAGTAGAAACAAGAAAAAGGTGAAATCCAGTAAAGCTACTTTTTTTTGACACAGGTATTTCCCAGCTCTGAAGTGCTGGAAAAGGCAATCAACAAAAATAGTGCACTTCACTGTTAGTATTTTTAACAATAAGCTGGTTGATTTTAAATAGGAAGCATATTATGATTTTTTTTGCTCTGTAATAAGTAGCTGTATTTAAAACACAGTGCTAGTTTGGCACATTTTACTCCATTCCAGTTTCCACCCAAGTAGAGATTGATATAAATCATTTCAAATGTATCATTTACCATTTTCCAAGACTTTAAAACCAGCAAACGCAACACTAGTCCAGAAAGCATAGAGTAAATTTGCGAAGAAAGAAAGGAGACCACTTCACAGGGCTAAATTTACTGAAAAGCAGTGACAGCCCAGCGAATATAAGAACAACTGAACATGGCTTCCAGAGCCAGGCAGGAGGTGAAGCCTGGCGCTGGCTCCAGCAGAATCACAGAATGTTCAGGGTTTGAAGGGACCTCTGGCGGTCACCCAGCCCAACCCCCTGCC